CGAATGCATCACTAGAATATAATTCAACTTCATAGTCCTCTTCAAATGACAAATGCAACTCTATCATTCTGATAGCCATAAGAGAACAATTACAGAAAGTATTCGGATTGGCATTGTCATTGAACCAAAAGTTGCCCACCATTCTCTTTTCGAAATGTTATTTTTGTACAGGGAAATTGAAATGAAACTGAAGATAAAAAATCCCAAAAATACATTTTCCAGTAAACAATACAAAGACCACACTTTCTAGTTTTACTGAATTTCCAGCCTGCAAACCCCAACCTGGCTATTTCAAAGCAATGTCAATAGTACTCTTCAATTGTTGTAATCACTGTGATAACATATTCATCAATAACAAACTTTTTCTTGATATACAATGAAATGGGCAATTTTGATTCTATCTAGATTTACATATTTTGGCACTTGTCTAGTGAAATTCTATATCTCAATCAAACTCTCAACATGAAACAGAACAACCCGTTTGCCAAAACAGCAATATATATGTATGCAACAAAGCAAATGAATACAAGAAACAGAAGCTCACGAATTCAAGGCCAATTCCTCTGGATGCACCCTGCACCATGGAAACCCCACCTTCCCATTTCACAGCAGAAGAAGAAAACGAGGCCCTTTGGGTCCTTACCCGCATCAGTCTCAGAGATGTCATCGCCATGAACGAGCATTGTTGGCTCAGAAACAAGTGTCTCAGTTTGTACATCTTCAGTTTGTCCACCCAAAACAAGAGACCAACCGATCTTTCTGTTGATGTTTGCAGTTTGCAACTACTAATTGATTGGTTTGCTCTACTTCTAACTAACACTTCATACATTGCAAATTTGCAACGTACCACTTCATATGTGGTTGATAATCTGCCACCTTTGAAATATTTTTATTCATTGATTTTGGACTTTGCTTCCAGAAAAAAAAAAATACAGAAACTGTGTTTTTTTCCTTCTTTATTTGGGGCAACTGGTTGGGCCAGTTTGTTGTCAACTGAGTTTGGATTCTGGCCTTTGAGTCATCTAAAAGCCCAAACAAGAAACTCGAGAAAGCTTAAAAAATCACAATGGACCAGCCCGTATAGGCTTGAACGTGAGTTCTAAATGCTATTGTATATCATTTGAAGTTCAAGAAAGTGACTTGACTTTTGTTCACAACCAATCAATATGGCATGGAGAATGAAGCTCAACCATCAAGCAAATCATCATCATCTGTGTTCTAATCAGGTCAAATCATCTTTTAAGGATACTGAATTAAGGAATTTGTTAAATATAATTACTCACATACACAAATGACTTTTATTCGTTCCGTTATTTTATTAACGTAGTAGACGAATTACTCTCTTTGTTTATTGGATAGTCTGCATACTGCGAGTTTGCAACTAAGCTAACAAAATGTTTGAATTAATTCCTATCACACCAGTATATTTAGATGTAGACAAAATAATTATATGGTCATAATAGTATCATTATTAAGGAACCATTTTTCAAATGAAAGTTGGTTGTAACTTTGAAAGCGTCAACAAAAATCATAGTCATATTATGGCCAACAAACAATAATGTAGTAATGTACAAAAAGACTGAAGTTGATGAGACCGACGGTATGTCTATAGGTCCCACGATAATAATAGAGGGCGCACAAAATAAGAGATAAGGTGAACAAATCCTTGTGCTCACCAAAACTTCGAATGGTTTTTTTCCTCTTCTTTACAATGTGATATGACATTTTAACTGAAATTATGTGATGATAGACCAATTTGTGGGCGAAGAGACGATCACATTGTTTTGGCCAATTGATAAAGACGGTCACATTGTTTTGACTAATTAACCTAACTTATGTTCGTTAATCTTCGAAAACTTATTGCACATGCAAAGACTAATTATTTAATTTGATGTCTTTTTATCAACTATATATAATTGAATTTGAGCTGACATCATTCAAACCAAAAAATTTAGCTAAGCAAAGGAGGTCAGACGCACACGAAAATTTCTCCCAACTTCCATACTAGAACTTGTCAGAATTTACATTTTTTACTTGATTGTCAGAAGACATCACACCCCAGAGTCATTTTCAGTCATTTCCTTTTCTTTGTTCTTGGGGGACATCTGGGCCTTCTCTGCTGTTGTGGTGACTTCATTGAACACTATAAAAATAAATCGTACAGGTTGTGAGAGATTTGGTGATAATAACTTAGGAATTAAATAGTTTTAAGTGAGATCACGATTGCAATAACTTATTTCATGACACATTATCGACACTTGGATTCTATAATTTACTCATAATGCAGAGAACTTTTTTAATAATAATAAAAAAAAAACACCAATGAAAACTTTGTGCATGCAATTAATAATTAATAAAAATCATTTGATAAGAATACTAGTTTTGTAAAAGCATTCACAATGAACTCCTTCAATCATCTTATTATTAGATAAATTTTAGGGAGCAATTGAAAAAATACAACTCTAACCTCGCTCTCTATCCACTTCCTAAAATATGGAGATCTCTAGGAGCTCCTAAATCCGAGAAGAGAGAAAAGATTCTTATTGGCTCTCTATAATTTAATGTTACTTTATTTTATGTATAGTTTAAACTTTTAATTAATTCTAACTATAATTTTATATTATTTTAAAAAAAGATAGACCAATTATATTGAATTAAAAAGTAACTATAGTATTTATGACTCCTTAAATTATGGAGTATGATTGGAGTTCAAATTTTATAGAGAGCTCTTAAAATAACTTTGGTGTGTTTTTAGCTAAATTTTAACTTAGAAAGCTCTTGCCGACCTAATAGTGTGGTAACATGCAATCCAAAACATATCTATGAAGACATATGAATGATATGTTCAAGTGCATATGATTAACTTTTGTTAGATTTTGTGATGAGAAAGCTCCGAAAGTGTATCAAAAATTACCAAAATATTTTATGAAGGAGTAAAATGGTCATGAAACTTTATGGTGTGCCATCAATTATAACTCCAATTCTTTCTTTTCAAAATCATGATCACAGTCACTCCCATTAACCAAATTGCACCCAACTTCCTTCAAATACATAATGACTCTTACCCCCCTTCAACCAAGAATGTGAAACCGTTTAAGGGTGACTTTTTGGACTGATCTTTATTGAAGTGTCAAATTTTGAGGGGCATATATGAAAATTTCACTAAAGTTGATGGATTTGACATTACTTGGGGTCACTATTTCCCAATAAATTGATTGAATGTGGTTTCCATTACCAAGGAGGCACAATGTTCCCAGATGCATGCAAGGGCAAATATGACATGTGCTAAAAGAAAGATGACCACATATATACAACATCTTTTTTTTAAGTATAAGTGGTAGTCTAAATTATTGGAGAGAAAGATTTCTCTCACAAATACACACAATTACAATGCTATGTGGATTCAAACATGAGACCTCTAATCTGCAAGTCAAGACTCTTTTTCACTATACTACACCCGTTGGCTATATAATAGCGTTTAAATAGGAAGAAAAAGGAGAATAAAAAATTATGTTCAAATAGTATACAATAATGTAATATGCATAATAGATCAACATTCATATATACTTACACAAACTTTTTGCTGTGCTGTATTTGCTTATGTTTATCAATTTACATAAATGAAAATTCAACCATTCCCCATTTCTAGGTTTCTAAATTTAATAAATAAGACTTCACTGCCAAGTTTGTTAAAACACTAATACCACCTGTGAAGTAGTCAGAAGCTTAGAGCTTCAAATGTGAATGTAATTCGAGAAAACAATGATCGATTTCTGCCTAACAAATGAGGCATCAAAGTTATCTGGTTTTGCATGAAACCATCTATAATTAACAAATATATATAGTACAAGATTAAATTTATTTTAAGAAAAGAAGACTTCTTAAATTATTCTTGTACAACGTATATAAGTTTAAGGTTTATTATATTCCAAGTATTAGTACTAGATTTGGTCCTTGCACATATTTTTGTCTACACCCAAATGTCACTTTTCTGCTCACACGCACATTTCAAGATACAGAAACAGAACTCTTTGTAAATTGTACATGATGATGACCATGCCTATAGTTTCCTCAGTTAATTTTTGAAAATCACTACCTAAAATCAGGCAGCCAGAGGCCAACAACTTTGTCAGAACTTTAAAAAAGGAAATTTACGTGCATGCTGCTGATAAAATTCACAGGACCACCACGACACAAGTAGCTGGCTAGATGACTGTTTGGCATGCAAAATGATTAAGCACCAACCTCGATTCGTTGGAAAAGATAAAAAGATGCTAAGATGAGATTAAGGAATGCTAATTTTGTTTCCTGAAAAGACAAAAACAGTCTAATATTCGATAAGTACTATTAATACATTTTTAAGTAAAACAATATCCAAAGTAAGCACAAGAACTTGGGTGGATAATAAAAGAAACAGAAAGCTGAGGAACCCAAAGCATGCTATTTTATCTCACAATTACACATCCCTAGACAAGATTGATGAGAAAGGTCAGGCTTTTTTGGTAGTAATTCTTTCTTTTCTTCCCTAGATTCTTTTGTCATCTTTCAAATTCTTTTTTTGTTTTGTTTTTTTTGCTTTCAAATCTCTCACTTAAAGCAATAAAAATTATAAAAGTTTGTTTTTTTTTTTTTTTTCCTTTTTAAAATACCCACACCCACATGACCAAAGGTTGCGGATGAATAATTTTTCCCACTTTAAAAGATGAACAATGAAGGCAAGTCCCATCTTCATATCAAATCTCCTTTCACACTGAGACTGAGCTTTCCAGTCATGTCTCCGATGGATGTACTTGTTTCTACTGTAGAAACCTTCTGTTCCTCAGCTTTCTGTCCCATCCACCAAAATTCCTAAAGGAATGTGTCTGCTCCCAATCAACCAACCAGCACTCTCACTTTCTTCCTTCA